GGATGGGGTTGGGATGGAGATGGGATGGGGATGGGATGGGATGGGATGGGGATGGGGGCCGGGCGCTCCTCGGGCCCCGCCGCGCCCCGCCTGCCCCTCGCACCGCCCTGCTGCCGCCCCCCGGGCTCGGAGCTCTCCTGGCGCTCTGTGCGATCCTTTCCGAGCCCCCGCGGCCGCCCCGGCACCGAGAGGTCCCTGCGGAGCCACCCGCGCTGCCCCTCGCTCTCGAGCGGAGCGCTCCGCTCGTTTCCTCCCGCACAAAACTCTTTTGCTGCCCGATTCCTCCTTCCTGCCCTCTGGAGGCAAGCTCTGCCTGCCAGGGGATCCCTCTGCCCGGGCTGGAGGAGCCTGTGCTCCGTGCTGGGACAGAGCACAGCATCCCCCAGGACACGGGGAGCTGCTCTTGCTGTGTGGTGGTTGAGTCACAGAATCCTAGAATGGTTTGGGTTGGAAAGGACTTTAAAGACCATCTTGTTCCACCCCGTGCCACGGGCAGGGACACCTTCCACTATCCCAGGTTACTCCAAGCCCTGTCCAGCCTGGCCTTGGCACTTCAAGGGATGGGGCAGCCACAGCTTCCCTGAGCAACTTGTGCCAGGGCCTGCACACCCCCACAGGGAAGAATTTCTTCCCAATATCCCATCTCATCCTGCCCTCTGGCAGTTTCACCCCATTCCCCCTTGTCCTGTCATTCCATGCCCTTAAAAAACCATCTCTCTCCCTCCCTCTCTCTTCCAACCCCTTTAGGCACTGGAAGAGGCTCCGATCTCTTGCCCTCTCCTTTCTGGGTTGCCGTGCTGGTGGTCAGAAGGCAGCTTTCGGCAGGGAGCTGCCAGTGGCCGTGCTGGCACAGCTGGGCCCTCCGGAGCTGCCTGCTGTGATCCACACACAGGCTGTGCAGAAATGGCATCAGGTGTCCCCGGCCGGGGCGGGCAGCGGCGGCTGCTGCCTGCCAGATGTGCTGTGTTTAGTGCGGGAGGCGACCGGGTCCTCAGCGCTCCCTCACCCAGGGTTTCAGCCCCCAGGTGGAGGGAGGAGAGGGAAGGACAGGGATGTCAGCAGGGGGACTCCTGATCAAAGCTGTCTGCCGGCAGGGAGGGGATAGGGGAGGAGGGGGCGATCTGCTTCTGACCCAGCCGGGGAAAATGAGAAGCACTGACAAAGAACACGGCTGTGCCTACAAAAGCAGGGAGGGGAGAAAAGCTTCAGCCAGCTCCTGGCGGTCCTGCTCTGCTGCAGCCCCGTGTCATGTTCCCCCGGAGCCAGCTCCTGCCCCGCAGATAAGAAAAATTGTGGAGGGGCACGGAGGTAGGGGAGAGGCTGTGCCTAAGCAGAAAAAGGGGCTGGCTGGCTCCAGCTGAGCGAGTTTCAGCAGTTTCAGCTCAGTTTCAGTGCGTCTGATCTTCCTGAGCCCCTGTCCAAAGCAGTGTCCGAGAGCAGCCCTGGCAGGCAGGGGGAGGCTCTGCAGCACGGATGGTTTGCAGAGCGGGATCTGCCTGTGAGGCTCTGCTCTGAGGGAGCCTGGTGGGGCAAATCCAGGCGGCCCCCGGTGCTCTCCCCTCCAGGGCCCCTCCGTGCCCCTCTCTCCTGACCCTTCTTGCTAGTCCTGCTTTCATCTCCTTTCATCACTCCTGAGCCTCCTGTGCTCACAGGGGTGATACAAGTGCAGAAGGACGGTGTTTAAAATGTTGCTTTTGTCATTTCACATCCTGAATTCAGGCAATGTGGTTGGTTGTTTCCTCGAGGTGCAGAGGAGGTTTTGAGTACTCTCAGCCAGTGTGGGAACAAGGGTATGGGAGATAAGGGTTCCCTTGTAGTCTTGAGACACACCCAACATTAACCTGTGTCTGGGAAGGTTTGGTAACTCAACTGATTAAATACATCTTAAATCTTGTTAACAAAGCCACCAAAACCTCCTCCCAGCCTCCTAATGATTTCCAATCCAATTCTCTCGTTTTTTTCCCTACTATCTTTATTCAGACCATAAACTAAAGCTGCCATTTTCCAATTGGGCCAGCTGGTTCTGCTGTGGGGTAAGTTCTGTGTGAGCAGACTGAGCCTGGCATGTGCAGCAGCCCTCTGTGGCCTTGCATTCAGCTCTGCCCTCACAAGGGGCTTTCCCCTTTTTGCTTTCCAGTTTCACATGTCCTGTTAACAGAGAGCAGGTCTGTACTGCCACCAGGCAGTGTTTAAAGGATTCAGGAGTTTGAGGATCTCCCCTGTGGTAGCACCCATGGTTTCATCCCAGCTGTCTCTCCATAGCCAGTGTTTTCCATTATGGGATGCCAATCCTGTTTGGGACTGATTCACACTCATCCCCTGCCCTCTGGAAGTCTCCTGGGATTATTTCAACCTCTTGTTTCATTTAATTTGGTTCCATTAGCCAACAGTTTCCTAAAAAACCTTCCAAACACAATCAGAAGGGGAACCACAGGCCTCTGGAATGGAGAAGCTGTGCTCGTGGCTGCTGTTGCATCAGGTCCTGATACATTCTGCTCCCCTCACTTGTCACAGGCAGCAGCTGCCTTCTCATGGGGATGGTCTTGGGATCGTAATTATAGAGGTTGAGAGTTAAGAAAGATGCATGTGAGACTGGCCTGGTGTGGAGAGGTCTGCAGGCACCTCTTTATTTCCCTGTGTGTGCTCCTGCTGCTGCCCAGCCTGCTGGAGGGAGCCTGGTGCTTGCCCCAGAGCAGGAACAATTGGACTTTTCTCTCCCTGTGAGGAGGAACTGTTGCAGACATCTCTTCATGAAAATTCCTTTCCTTAAGATTTTTCCTCCTGAGAAGCTGAGAAGCTTCAAGAACAAAATGTAACCAATGGTTATCTGCTGCTGTGGAATGCAACAGGTGCATCTGGGATTGGCTCATGTTGGTTTGTTTGTAATTAATGGCCAATCACAGTCAGCTGGCTTGGACTCTCTGTCCAAGACAGATGCTTTTGTTATCATTCTTTTCTATTCTTAGCCAGCCTTCTGATGAAACCTTTTCTTCTATTGTTTTAGTATAGTTTTAATATAATATATATCATAAAATAATAAATCAAGCCTTCTGAAACATGGAGTCAGATCCTCATCTCTTCCCTGATCCAAGAACCCCTGTGAACACCATCACAGAGGAACCTGTGTGGTTCAGGCACGCTGCAGACACAAGCTTTGCCCAGGACTGTGGCTGATCCTTGTTTCTACTGCTCTGAGCAGCCCAAAGGATTCAGCTCTGTTAACCCAGAGATCAGGGGATTCCTTCAGCTCAAGCTGTCATTGTCTGGCCAGGTCTGCTGCCCTGTGGACATTGCCATGTCCTGGTTTTTGTTGCCCAGAGGGGTCCCTGGGCTGCTGGGGCAGGGGATGGAGCAGATCTCAAAGGATTGTGAGCTGTGTGAGCTGTTTCCATCCTTTGTGCTCTGCTGTCCTGGTACCTCTGCACTGGCTCTTAGAGGATCCTCAGCTCTTGAGTGCCCTCAGGAGGGATCTGCAGAGCCTCTCCTCAGCCTCAGCACAACTGCACAGTCCAGCTACAGCAGGGAGAGGCCAGGGGGATGCCTGCCATGGCTCAGCCCCCCTCCCTCTGTGGGGAACACACTTTTCAGCTGCATTCTTTGAGCCTTTTCATGGATCCATGTCCCACAGGCTGTGGCCAAGCTCCTTTGTGTGATTCATTGTACAGCTGCTTCCCCTGCAGAGGCTGAGGTGGGAAATAAAAACAGCTTCCAGCTCCCAATATCTGCAAATCTCAATTACAATGGAGGTTTTGTGGGCCAGAAAGTGGCCCCCGAGGGAGCAGCCCTGTGGAGGGTTAAGCTGCAGATGAGCTCACAGGAGAGATGAGGCAGAACTGGGTTCACTCCTCCTCCTCTTTGTGCCCTGCCTTCTTCCAGCTCCAGCCTGTGCTGGTGCAGAAAGGTGAGAAGGGATGTGGCAGGAATGTCCCTGTGCCAGGGGCAGGGGTGCTGCAGGCAGCTCAGGGTGATGTGCCACACCTGGCCACCACTGGCTGAGGGTGGCAAAGCTGCATCAGCTCCGGGACAGCAGCACATTCACAGGGATAATCAGCAGTGATTTTGTGGTGGAGCAGACCAGGCTGGCATTCCAGGACTGGTTTTGCCCCTGAGTTGTGCTCCTGTGTAATTTTCAAGTTGATTTTTAGGATTGTTGAACACCTCGTGGCAACACATCCTTTCCTGCAGAGACTGGAACTCAAAAAAACCCCACCAGTGCACCTTTCTGCCTCTGAGTTTGTTCAGCTGCTCCCTTTGGACTCAGTTTTGGATTCATTTGCAAGACTTAAAAAAGCAGCCTGGTGTTTGCATCAAAAACCAGTGCTTTTTGCATAAAAACCCAGCATTGCTGTACCTGGGGACACTGGATTTTCATGTAAATCTTTGGTGTAAGATCAAATCTCCTCTGGCATCAAAGAGGAGATGGGAGATGTTTACTTCTGGCAATCAATCACATGGACATCCATGTGAAGGCAGGTGCCATTGCTATGGCTATTGTTGTCAGGGGACTGAAGAAAATCCAAACTAACAGGGTAAATCCTTTCTTTTCCAGACTTCTCTCTGTTTAGGCTAGAGCTGGACAAAATAATTCATCACAAAATTAAAAGTTTGAGTGTGCTGAAGTGGTGGAATATGAAGTGGAACCAATCAGTTGAAATGAGAAATATTTGCTTTTCGTATTTCTGAAACATTTCTGTTGTCAGTGGATTTCAGTTTTATTTATTATCATTAAATATTATGCAAACCCCAGTGTACTTCAGCCTGGGTTGAATCCAGCAGCTCTTTGGGGGTTTGTTTTTAATTTTGCCTCGGTTGAAAAAGCTGCAAATATTTGCACCAAACAACTGAGAAAAACGTTGTTAAGAGTTTTTCCAGGAAAAGCAAATATTCACTTTGTTTGCACAGCTACAGCCCTGACCTAAGTTAAACTTTGCCTAATATGATGATCTCTTTAGCTTAATGAAAATAGCTGAGAAAAAAAGAATGGAATACAGACTCCAGTCTCACTTTGCTGGCTTCTTTCACAATCTCACCATTTATTTTTAAATAGAAATCCTGTTCCAGAAGCAAGCAGATATTTGTCTTTAGAAGGCCATAAAAATATCTCTGTATTGGAAGAACTCAGGTGGGTGACACTTTCAGCAATGGGGAGTTGCCTTTGCATACCTGGGCTATGCATTGCAAACACAGTATGCAAAATGGAGAGAGAGAACATTAAAATACAGATTTCCACCAAAATATTGGCATAGCATGATTAATGCTCTGCTGGTCCTTAGATCAACACCCTGCAGAGCAGGATAGTGTTTTCCCTCACCAAAGCAGTGTACAGCAATAGAAAAGAGGGAGAGGAGGAAGCAATCTGTATCTCGTATCAAACCATGCCCTGGGTGGTTCAGCAGGTGGTTCTCACATTTAGCCCAGTGTTTATCACAGTTAAAACCCCTGTGGTATCTTGGCTTCACATCCCCAACCAACCAAAAAGTCTGTTCTTTGGTCAGAACATGAACAAATAACCCTCCCTCTTCCTTCATTTTGTCCCCTCCTCCAATTAAGGGCCACTAAGGTCCTGGGACAGGTCAAGGCACATGGCAGGGGGAAAGAGAGACAGACTGTGGTTTTTAGGGTGCAGGGCTGCACCTCCTTGAGCCCTTGGTGGGGCAGATGAGCAAGGCACTGTTGGCAGGAGACCCATCCAACACCAGGGTCCAGCTGCTGTAAGGAGCACCCTGGTGTGCAGCTGCTAAAAACCAGCGTGGTGCTGTGGATTTGTTCTTTTTGGACACAGAGCCTGGCTCTGCAAGGCCACATCTGCTACAGCTGCTCCTTCTGCACAGGCACATGGGGCTGGCCCCTGGGGCTGCCCTTGGGTTATAAAAAATGCTGTAACCTGCACCTGCCCCTCCAGGTGTTCCTGAGTTGGCTGCCCTGCCCCACAGCACCTGCAAAAACACAGTGTGGAGAAACCACAGTGCTTCCAGACCTTGGATTTCCCTTCCTAGAATGCAGAAGAGGAGGCAAGGAAAGAAACTAATCTGCTTTGTCAAGGAATTTTAGTGTTAATGGCAGAGATTTGGTCTTTACCAGCTAACCCAGCTCTGCTCCTACTTGCTTTGGCAGATGCCAGAGCTCCATCTGCCTGGCAGGGAGGCAAATGTACCCTTGGAGGGCAAGGACCTGGTGTGCTACACTACATGGTTTGAAATACCAATGTTAACATCTACATTCAAAAACAGAAGTCACCTGGGGAGAGGCTGGGACAGGCTGCCAGCCCTGCACACAGACCAGAGATCCAGGTGAAGAACAATCTGTTGTGTGGGACCAAAGCATCAGCCTGAGGAGAGAGTCACAGCCTTTGTGTGGTAAAGGGATAGAGTGGACCTGTTTTAGAGAGAGGAAGCATTGCATTACATTGTATTATTCATTTTTTCACCTGTGTAATCCCTTGAGGCTTCACACTATCACTGTGGCAGCAACTGTTTCACTGCTCTCTGGTTCTGGAGCTTGATCTCTGGCACGTGGGATATCCTCATGGGATCCCTGCCATTACGGTAGTGTTCAAGTGCTGACAACTGGAATTTCTGGTAATTGATGTTTAGGGGATCTCTGAATTGCAGGTTTGTTTGAGGATCTGGGCTTTGCTTGGTGTCAATCAGGCTGTGCCAGTGGGACACTGCTGGGACTGACGGGTCACACCCTTGACTGGCAAACTGCTTTTCTTTTTGAAGCATGCCTTCAGAAGGTTGGGCCTTGAGGAATTTGACCTTTCTGTGTTCCAGCAGCTCCCTGGATAAAATATATTGTGAGACTGATGTACACAACTTTAGCAAGCTGAGGGGCAAGGAGAGATTAAAGAACTGCTGAATCCCAGCATCTTTCTGTCATACTAATCGTGAACATTATTTGTCTATTTCGTGATAGAAACGCTCCCTGCCAGGCAGTGTTTCTATCAAGAAATACAGTCAGACTGTATCTGACTATCAAAACACTACCTGTTTTCCCTCCTGCCTCCCCACATGTTGATGTTCTCCTGTGGATCTCTAAAACACCCCCTGTTCCCATCTCCCAGAAAGAAGTGTGTGTATCACCTCCAGGATTCAGCTTCCCAAATATCCTGGATCAACTTGTACCTGTCAAACTCTTCCCAGGAACCTACAAGAAACAAACCGAAGAGAAGTAACACCAGTTGTGCCTGTAGAGGCCACCCAGGAGCATCTTTCCAACCCTCCTCGGGGCTCTGGCCACTTTTGTCCCTAGGCTTTGGCATAGCAGCCCCCCTCCTCGATGGTCTGCACGGGGTGAATGGGTAGGACCAGGTGGGAGATGCGGCTCCACAGCCCGCTCAGCTTGTCTGAGTCCATGCGGTCGTAGGAGCCGGGGCTCCTGGCGCTGGTGAACTTGGCCCAGAGGAAGTCACGGACCCTCTCCTCCAGCTGCTGGAGGCTGATGTGGCTGTCCAGCACGTCCTCCTCCAGCAGCACCGTCAGCAGCAGGGCCACGTCCTTGAAGGCGGCGCTCTCGTGGTCGCAGTACTTGTAGAAGATGAGGGTGGCCCCGGCGGGCAGCAGCTCGAAGCGGTGAACCACCGCGGCCCGGCTGCCCGCCTGGAAGGCCGCGCTCAGCTCCGAGTCCACCTGCAGCTTGGCCTGGTCGCTGTGGAGCCTGCCTTTGTCCCTGCCCTCGACGTGCACCGTGCTGCCGTGCAGGGCGGCCGAGTAGCAGTCGGCCAGGCGGGCGCCCAGGCAGCGCAGGGTGCGCTCGCCGCGGCGCGCGGCCGCGAGGATGATGATGGCCGGCTGCGTGGGCCGCGACGCGTTCAGGTGCTTGCGCAGGAACTTGCGCCCGCGAAGCCACAGCTCGGGGCTCTGGCCCGGGAAGCTGTGCTGCAGCTGGTCAAACTGGGACTGGAATGCCTCCACCGTGGGGTTCCTGCGGGGCTGCTGGGAGCTGGAGGTGGGGCTGCCGAAGCAGAATATGCAGAAGCCCAGCACTGTGAGGCCCAGGATGAAAAGCCCTGTTCAGCAGGGAGAGACACAACACGGGGAGCAGGAGTCAGTCCCGAGTGACCTGCAGTGACATGCTGGAAAGTAGCTACAATGGCTATTTCTCCCCTCTCAGAGCTTCCCCCTGCACTAGGAAAGTGGAGCAAGTTGGGCAGGAAAGGTGAAAGGGCTGCTGGCTCCCACTCCAATGTGCCAGGTGTGGGGGCTGCAGCTCCAGGGATGAGGGCAAGGATTGTGCAAACCTTCCTGAGGAAATTGCAGCTGCCCACAAGCTCTTTTCCCCTTCTTCTGTTTTTTTTAGGTTTGTGGCTGTTCAGAGCACCACATATGGAGGTGTCTGACCCAGGTAAAGTGCTGCTTTCACTGCCCTTCTCCATGCTATGAGTGAACAAAGGCCACCGTGCTTCTGCTCAGAAAACAGAAGGTCCAGACACAATGCCTTGTGTCCCTCTCCATAGCAAAGCAGAGTCTCCTTCTAACAGGAGGAATGTGTTGATGCAGACCAGCATCAGTGTTTCTGCTTAGAGCCCCAGGACAGAGCAGGGCTGGGGAGGGGGACCCTCAGCACAGCAGCCTCCCCAGACATCCCAGGGCACTCACAGCATGATGACCACAATATGCCAGCTTTTGAGGCTGAAGAGCTGGAGGGGAAGCTGCCACTATAGGCTTGAACTGAGCCTGTATTTAAGGGGATGTTTTTTCTTTCAAACCCTCAGAAGAGGCTGTGAAAGGTCTCGAGAGAGAAGAGTAATTAAATGTGCTTTATTACTTGCTCCTGGAGGATCAGTGCCTTCTGGTCGATGAGTAACATGCAAGGGAAGCTTCTTTTCCTCACCTTTCCACAGGAGGGACTTTTTGGCCTTCTCCTGCTCTGTGTTTTGGGTGGTGATGTTCTGCAGGGAAGACAGAGTCTCTGGGTTTGGGGCTGTGTCCCCTGCAACAGGAGAAAAGAAATGTGCCACTCAGTGCTGAGGGAACAGGTAAATGGGGCTGTAGTAAGCAAAGCAGGAGGAAACACTGCTTTGGGTTAATACTGCCCCGAGTCTTGGCTCTCTCCTCTTTGGCTGGGCAAGGAGAAAGACAATGTAGAGTGCAATGTGGCTTCATGCCTTTCACAGCACAACAGGAGCAAAGGCAAGAGAAAGAGAGAAGCCAATTAATTTCTTATACCTTGTGACTCCAGGGAAGTGAAAATGGCTCTGAGAGATCTCATCCCATTGTTCTAGTGCCTGTGGGAAATGTAGGAAGTGGAAGAGCAGCAGTGTGCAGCCACCAGCTCACCTTTTGGTCTTCTCCTTAACGTGCCTTGGGACTCGCTCTCCTGTGTTTCCTGCCCTCTGGGAGCCTCTGGCTCCCAGTCTGGGAGAGTGGCACTGCTGCTCTTCTCTGCCAAGTGGCCCCTGGGGACATCTTCCACACCAGTCCCATCCAGAGGTGTCATTTCACTGCCAGAGCCCTGTGCCTTGCTTGTTGATGATGCTTTGCAGAGACTTTCATGGTGCCCAGTTGTCTCCTGGTGCTCCCGTGTTTCCTGGTGGACAGGGCTGTCTCCTTTGCTTTCCACATTCTCATGGCCCAGCCCAGCTGTGGGGAATAAAATTCACAGACCTACACTTCGTCTCTTTTAGCCCAAGAACCAACAACCCTTTCTCCTGCTCTGCCTCCTCTAAGCCAAGGCCCAAGTTATCAGGCCCAAGGGTGGGGAGAGACTCACCTTCATCCAAGTCCTGTTTTTCCAGGGGTCTTTCTGAGACACCTTCTTTTGTCTTGTCAGATTCTTCTGGCAACACTTCAGTTTCCTGGGCAGGTTTCTTCTCTAGTGTGGGACCAGCTGAACCCAGGAGTGTTGCCTCTCCCCCATCAGCAGCTGATTCACACACTGAAGAGTCCTCCTCTGGTTTGCAGGATGTCTCAGGCCACCTGCCTGTCCCTTGGTGCCCAGGTGCTTCCTGGGTGGGCTCTTGGTGCACAGGACACTCTGCTGTGCTCCCCACCTCACCCTGGGCTGGTCCAGCTGGTGGGATCAGAGTTCACAAGCCCAGTGAGCCACACAGGAGTGAAGAATGCCCAGTGCTTTACCACCACCCACACTACTCCCAGTTCTGGCACTGCCATTTACCCCCAGTGAGACAGGAGAGAACAGAGTGACCAGAGGTGAGAAAACTCTTGGGTTGAGATCCAGACAGCTGAGTGAAGGGAAGGAGGGAATCAGGATGCAAAGGCATCACTCACCACCTCCTACAAGCAGACTGATGCCAGGCCAGTCTCCCACCTTGGAAGCCACGCCCTTTCTCCCTTTCTGTCTTTGCCCCATTTTTTTTGTTACTGAGCATGGTGCTATATTGTGTTCAGCAACTCTTTTCCCACCTTAGGTCCCTGCCCAATCTTCTGCACACCCCAGGGTATTTGCTGGGCAGGGACAGAAAGCCTTGATGCTGTGTTCATCAAAAGCCAAAACACTGCTCTGTTTCCAACAATTTTTTTTCTCTAAGTCCACAAATCCAAGACACAGACCTTACAGCTGCCTTGCTAAAGCTAACTCAATTCCAGCTTGTGTCCTAGGTGGGATGGGCAGGCAATTCCTTCCTTCAATGGTAAAATATGTTACCACATCTTTCACAGATAGTGGGTTTTCACAGATAGCAATGGATTTGAAGAATTCCTAAGGCTGTTGTTGAGTACAGTTATGCCAATCCACTTCAAGCATCTGTCTGAATGTAAATGATAATTCTCATGCTCTGTGTTTCTGTGCTGGAGCTGCTCTCCCAAAGAGCTATGGCAACATTTAATTAGAAACAAACACTGGAGCATAATTCAATAGAGAGATCCTGCAACTGAACAGTGTTTGTGACATATTCTGACTCTCACAGAACCAAAGTGCAGCTCAAATTTCAGGCACTACTTGTGAAAAATTGCTTATGAATGATCAAGCACTACATAAATGATTATGCTATAATTAGAATAAACACTGATTAAAAGGGCGAGGAACTCCCTTCTAATTTGAAAACAGAGAAAAAGCTGCACTTGTCACCTGTCAGAACATGATTTTTACATTCTTTGTCGCTGATTATTACAGTGACACTTCTGACTATCTAGGACAGACCTGAGCTGGTGATGGCATCACTTTATCACTGACACACTCATAGGTGCCAGTCATAACACATAATGTAAGTACATTAGAACAAGGCTCCCACATAATGTAAGTACATTACATGGTAGAAACTGAAACATGAAGAACTTGGAGATATCCTGCTGTTCAAGCTGGGCACAAACTGCTCCCTGCCCTGCCTCTTCCAGAGTTTTTCCAGCCAGAGGTGGTGGAAAACTGGCTCATTATTTAAGCATCTGCAGATGGGAAGCACCAGGATTTAGGGAAGAAAGCTCTTCCAGTCTGGATCTCTCTCTTCAGCATTCCTTGTGCTGCCACCTTGGGACACAGAATCTAAACCTGTTGCAGATCAGAATCTAAAACTGAAAGTAACTTGTTCATCTTTCACACTTGAAAAACTGTTGGCAACTTGTTTTCCTTGGCCTGGAAGAGATGGGATTCTTTTACTGGTTTATTTTTCTTCTGCACAGGTTTCTCATGTCACTGGCAGCAAAGGGATTTTCCTAGCAGATGGAGCAAGCAAAGGATTCACTTACCTCCAAGAAGATCCACGCTTGGAATCTCTTCCATTTTCCTTTTCCCCTGGAGCTCTGGCTTCTGCACGGTTTGGTTTCAGTTTCTCCGACGTTCACAGGGAGCTGTATCTCCCTGCTGTTCCGGAGGCTGACCGAGTCCTGCCCTCCTCACAGCCACCATCCCGTCCTGCTCCGGCCAATTCCAACTACACGCCCACAAACCTGATAAGCAGAAACACCGTGAATCACGGTGGGGGAGGCTCCTCCTCCGTGATTCCCAAGGTGAAAATGGGAGGATATGAACCTTCAGCCCGTGGGCTGTCAGCTATTTTGCTTCCCGTCAGTGCAGGGGTTAATGCAAACCGCATTTATCTTGGGACACGCCAGGGGGGTGAGGCACTGCTGTCTCATCCCCACGGACGCCAGGCTGGAGTCTGGGGCTCGGCCGGCTGCCCCGGGAGCTTTTGGGCAGCTGGTAGCTCGCAGCCAGGCGGGCACGGAGCGATGACCCTGCTGCTCCCGTCCTTCCCCCGCCTGCCTCCAGCGTGTCGGATCGGGAGGCGATCGGGCAGAACCACCCCGCGGGGCCGGAGCCGCAGCCTGAGCCCTGCACGCCCCCAGCCATGATTCCCCCCGGCTAAAGCCCTTTGGGACAGGGCACAGACGGAGCCGGGCTCGCCGGTGTTATCCAGGCTTTCCCGAGCACAACTAAGCGGATGGAAAACTCCCAAGAAACTTTCCCCGCTTGGAGAGCGGTCCGTGCGGTTTTCCGTACAGAAATCTCCAGCCCAGCCTCCGAAAGCAGCAGCTTTTCGGGGGCCCCTCGCCCCCAGCAGTGTCTCCACACACGGTTCGGGGCTATGGGGTGCAGTCGCTGCCCCGGCGCTCGTCCCTCCCCTCCCTGTTCCCGATGCCGACGCTCCGGCAGGAGAAGGAAATCAGCAGAACAAAGTGGAGCCGCTTACCCAGGCAGGTTCGGAGCCGGTCAGGGCGGCGATCAGGAGCAAAGAGGCGGCAGGAGGAGGCCAGCGCTGGCCTTTCCCCTTGCCCTCCGTCCCAGAGGCCCTTTGGTGGCAGGACACCAGCGCACACCCTGAATCCTCCGCTGGAAACGTGACGGTGAACCCTGACCTTCCCTGGCTCCCGGCTGCCTGCTGGGAGCTGTAGTTTTCCTTCCCGCAGTTATTCTCGGGAGCCTTCAGGAAACGGGAACTTCCTTTTTTTGGCCGTGTTTCCGCGACTCTGTGGCTGCGCGCTTTTTTTTCAGGCGCTCTGCATGACTGGCGCGTTCCTGCATTCAGTAACAGTGTTGCGGATTTGAAGCAAGGAAACGATAGTGAAAGGAGGGAACTGGTTTGCGAGTTGATTTAGGAAAAGTACTACAAGAAAAGTCACCCAAACACATAAGTAGCAAAGCCCAGCCGCTGGAAATGTCACGTTTCCAGCGCAGGGAGGCTGGGGAGGATGTGACATGGGGGATCTTCAGCATCAGCCTGGGGGAAAGGGATGCAGAGCCCACCCAGTGTCCCCAGAAGTGGGGAGAGGCTGCAAAGCAGGGAAAGGTCTGAGAGTGTTTGAGTCAGCCCTTAGCCTCATTTAGGCAATGCTTTTCCCAAAAAAATCCTATTCTAACTCGTGGTGCCTGCACAGTGGCATGTATAGGCATGGGTATGTTCCAACTCCTTCCCTATTCCCCCTGCCCAGGACACGTTTCATGGAAAGCAGCAGCAGGGAGCACTCCAGGGGAAAGGCAGCAGCACAGGGAGCAGCAGAGCAGAGACAGCAATGCCCCTGGAACTCTGCTTGCTGCCTTTTCATCAGCATCCTCAGAGGAGCCCAGCAGCAAATGGCTGAGACAAAACACAGGGAAAGGCAAACACAGTGCTGGAAAGGAGGGGGCACTGAGTGGCTGGGACTCCTCAGTCTGGGGAGCAGAGGGCTGAAAGGGGAGATGGGACTAATGTGTTTGTTTTGTTTCAATTCGACTAAATCCTCCCCTAAACTAGTACTGGAGGCACTTGTAAAACAGGTAAGAGGTTGGGTTCAAATGGGAAGGAAAAAATACTTCTTTATGCTGGCCCAGGGGGCACAGAGGCAGTGTCAGAGGGGTCAATAAAATGTGTGTGCCATGTTACCCGGGGTGTCAGCATGTGCACAGGCATCAACACTGACACTGCTCATGTCAGGAAGGTGGTGAGAAGGTGAGGTGTGCTGGCCACTACACCTCATTTCTGACAGTGTCTACCTTTGTCACCCACAGAGCTGGGAGGGGACAGTGGCCGTGGCAGACTCAGCACATTCCCTTGTCACGACCAGCCTCTCACCAGGGGCAGCAGAAGCTGTAAAACCGGAATGGAAAAGCAGGAAGGAAAAAGTCAGCGTGGCTGACTCACAGCGGCCAAGGTCACCTTGAGGGCCCTGCTCCTGGCTGCCATCAGTCTCACACCACGATTTGATCTCCCTCAGTAAGGAACAGCCCAGGAACAGCAGAGAGGAGCTGCAGGTGGCAAGGGCTTCATGGAAATCCAGGCATTTTCTATCCCTCTGTCCCTAAAACCATCCAGTCCCTTCAACACAGTGTTTGGGGCTGAGGGGCCGCCCTTTCCATGGAAGCACAAGTGTCATTATACTGGTGGTAAGTGTGTGACAAAATTGGGGTCATTTCAGCCTCTCCAGGTTGAGAACCTGGTTCCCAAAAAATCGTTTGGCAGGAAAATTAACTGGCTGGCCTAGGCCATGAAGTAATCACAAAACAGTTACAAAAAGGGATCTTGCCATTGTTGTGTTGATTTTTTTTTTTTTTCCTGATGTGGTATTTGTCACATCCTCTTTCATTTTTGCTTCAGAAAACAATGCTCAATGTGTGTGTTCTGCTTTTAGGACTGAAAAGAATGACAATATTTACTGCTGGTACAATGGGAGGTATCTCACAAATATTCACTTGCTTTTGGGTGAAACTGCAACATTTATAGTGTGTTAGTAAAGAATTTAGGGTATTTTTTGTTTTGAAATCTTTGTACAGAGAAGACAGGCATGGGAGTGCAGGCTGAATGGCACTTCCCTCACCCAGCCTTCCTGCTGGATTGCATAAAGTGCCAGACTCTCCTCAGGGACAGGACAAGGAGCAGTGGCCATAAACTAAACCACAAGAAGTTCCACCTCAACGTGAGGAAGAATTTCTTTACATTGAGGGTGGCAGAGCACTGGGAAAGGCTGCCCAAGGAGGGCATGAGGACTCCCTCTCTGGAGACATTCCAAACCCGCCTGGATGTGTTCCTGTCACCTGCCCCAGGTGACTCTGCCTTGCCTGGGGGGTTGGACTGGATGATCTCCAGAGGTTCCTTCCAACCAAAACAATTCTGTCACTCTGTGACTTTATAAAAGGGTCTCTATTTACTTAGCAACTAATTTCCAAGCTGGTCTTGAGCTGCTAAGGAGGGAGTCTAGAGGAGACCTTGTAGTCCCAAAAAATTGCATCTTGAAAACTTCCAGCCATAGAAACTCTCCCACATGCCTGGGTAAAAAAGTTTTATCAAGAATGCAATCAAACACATTTTAAAAGCCCAGTTTGGCAGTAATTAATCAGAACAAACGGGTAAGAAAAGTGAAATGCCTAGTGAGATATTCCAGATCTGATTCACCAAAACGATTCCCACTCTAAGGAACAGAGTAGTGCAACGTTATCAGTGCCAGAGGATCTCAGATCCCCCGAGGTACCTCCAAGTTTCCCTTCTCTGCTACTCAGCTGCGATTTGTGCTTATTTTACAGGTTTTTCTGCCTCCGAGAAATGCAAAACCGGCCTTGTTGCGATCGGTTCGCACATAGAAAATAACGCGGTGGGGAGCGGAGGCGCCGGGCCCGGGCTGCCCTCAGGGGCCGCGCCTGTCCCGCATTTTTTTCACTGGGGGGCAGCAGCCGCGGGGCCGCCGGGCGGGCGTTGCAGGGGCCGCTCCCGCCGGGCCCGGGCCCGAGCCTGATCCCGGATCCCGATCCCGATCCGGGTCCCGCGGGCGGTGCCGGGGCCATGGCGGACCGGCCGCGCTACCACGTGACGCCGCGGCGGCCGCTCCGCGCGCGGGCGGAAGCGGCGGGCGCGGGTCCCGCCCCGCGGGAAGTGAGGCCCGCGGAGCCGCCCCCGCCGCCGCGGGAAGGCGGCAGCTGCAGGCCCGAGCAGGCGGCGGCGGGCGGACGGGGAAGAGGACGGGGCAGGGGACGGGGCCGGGGTAGGCGGCGCGGCGCGGCGGCGGGCGGCATGGTGGGCAGCGGTGACGAGGAGGCGGCTCCGCCGGACGGCCCCGGGATGGCTCCGCCGGACGGCCCCGGGCTGAAGCGGCGGCGGAAGAGCCCCCGGCTGGCGGCGGCGCGGCCGGAGGAGCTCGGGGACGAGATGGACAGCGCGGCCCTGCAGGGTGAGCGGCGCGGGCGGGCGCAGCGGCCCGCGGTGGATCAGGTGGTTGAGGGCGCGGTGGGGCGGCGCGAAGCGGGGCGGGCGGGAGGGCGCCGTGTGGTTTTCCCTCCGGGGGTGCTGGGACGGGACCGCGCCGCTGGAAACGTCCTGGTGAGCCTCGTGCTCCTGGAAGGCTCTCAGGCCCGTGGGCTTGAGCTGAGTGTCCGGCTGTGCCCCTCACCCGTGTCTCGTTTCAGGGGACGAGCATCACTTCGGAACCCCAGACTCCCTGACGCGGCCCCCTATAAAAGCGTACAGATCGCCAGGTAGGCTCCGATCCCAGAGCTGCGGAGGGGCTGGGATGGCCCACGCTCAGGGAAATGTGAATTATTGGGCTCTAGCTCATCGGCAGGCGTTACCGTGGCACACAGGTGATGAAATCCCGCTGTGGCTCTTACCCCACAGAGGAGGGATGGGAGGAGAAGCGATCCTTTGCAGCAGGGCACGCCGAAACCCTCAGGTAGCTGTTTTTTTCCTAGGGCATCACTTGGAACAGTACTTTTACCACAGCATCCAAATTTTAATGACACTGCTTGGTTTTGAAAGGCAGGATTTAAATAAGGTGTGCTGAGCTGCAGAATCGATCCCTCAGTGGCTGTGCTCCTTACTGGGAGCAGTATTGTTTATGAAGAAATGCAAAACTGGGGTTTTCCTTCCTTTGAAACACCAAGGATGCTCTGGGACCTGCTCCTGGACACTGGACTGGACAAGCT